AAAAAAAAAAAAAAAAAAATCCAGCCATCTTTGAGAACAAGACTAAAGGTACTACTTCCTTAATTGCCAAAGTGGTATCTAACATTCCTGTTAGAGGAAAGTTTTGCTTGTCACTTGTTATTTTCTTTGCTCTCCAGGGTCATAGGTACATATGGACACAGGTCTTTTTAAGAATACACCTGTGCTTAAACTCTGGAATATCGTGCTTTGTAAAAACACATTTCACCTCCATAGTTAGAGAATTGCGATAGCTCAAAGGTTTTAGGCTTTGGGTGAGGAGTGGGCAGCTAGAGCAGATTAACTCATAAAAGGAAAAGATTGTTTGCTGAGCCGATGACTCTAACAATACAGGAAATAAGCTTCTGGGTAAAGAGAGGAAGTAAACTTTGAGAGAGTATCACTTACAGAGAGAGAAGTAGATAAATAGCATTTATCTTCCATGGATTGCATGGATAGCTCTTTTCAAAAAGGCGATTTCTTTGCATTAGGCATAAATCACTTGGAAAGGGTTCTGAGATGCGCTTGTTCACAAGTAAGTAAAAGTTTAGTTTATTTGCAATGCAGTTACTTGTATTCTGATCCTTCTGTGACCTGCATAGAACCTTGCTCTCATCAACAGGACAATGTCGAAAAAGATGGTTCCCTTTACAGTGAGCTCATTGCTGAATATTATTTGCTCACGGGTACTAATTCACTTTGTGCTTACACCTAGATAACTAAGGAGGTTTAGCAAACTATAAACATAATTTTTGGAGAGTATAAGCTGAAAGTTCCTTTTCACATAATTAACAATTGTGACTCAGATGCTTCTTGATCTGCCAATTATGATCTACTATTTCCCTTTGCACGCATTCGGGCATAGTTTTTTTAAAAAAAGACAGATTGTCAGTAATTCACTGATGCTAATGCAGTTAATGCATGTTTTATATTGCAGGCAGCAAAACTGGCAAAGATGAAGATTCCACCGCACGAAATGTTTAAATTGGAACATGACAAATATTCCATGTTTGATGAAAATGTAAGAATTGGAGACTTTCCTGTGGATGGGGAGAGGTTTTCCTTCTGTAGCTGTACATATTCAGTTGAATGTGTACATAGCTGATCCTGTTGCAAAATTTCTAAAGCACATGGCAGAAGGAGAGAAAGAGGAGAAAATACTAATTTTCTTGCACATAACTTGCATTGGGGAGCAAGGTTATCTAACTATTAGCCATCATTTCAGGGATACTTTCATGCTACGTTAGTCTCCTTTGGCCATCCTAGCGCAGAGCAAGAATTCCCTTTAGGTACTGTGAGTAGCAATCCGCATGATATTCATTCACAGATTTATTAAAATAGCTTGTTGCAAGGCAAAGTGCACAGCTGTACAAACTCCCTGACTCTGTCAAAACTGATGGTAACAGCCATGTTTTTCAGAGATGCCCTGTGCTTCCTTTTTAGGTGTACCCTTTGTTCCTTTCTCCCCTGGAAAGGGTCTCTGAGGGAGCTGTACTGATAACTTTGCTCAGGTTGCTCCCCTTTAGCATTAAAGGGGTTACTTGGAAAACAAAGGGGTTACTTGGAAAACAAAGAAACAAAGTTTCTTCAGGGCTTAATCTGGGACATTGCTCCTATTTCTTCCTGTCGTCTTTGACAGTGCAAATTCAGGCCCTGGGGACAAATAAGAATGGTGTGATGCAGAGAATGTAAATATTGGAAAATAAGCGTGCGAGCAAGAAGATCCACAAAAATATGTCATCATGGTTTTTCCATTCAGAGTACAAGCCTCTTACTGCTTTTGCTTAAAGCCTTTGATTTAATGTTCGTATGATTTTAAAGCGGTCTTTTAACCGTGTATTTAGGGGCTAAGTATTAGTCTAGGAGTTAGTTGTGTAAGCTTCCTCTCCTCGGTAGAGATAGCCAGGACAGAAATGCCCACTTTGCCCCTTCGTTAACTAGGGAGGGAGCACAGACAAGTAGTTAAAAGTAGTTGTCTAACTTCTAGGTGGCTAGAATTAGCAAAGATGCATCCCACCTGATAGTTTGTCATTAAGTATGACATTATTCCCCCATCTGATTAAAACATGATTCAGCTGGAAAGAACACAATTCCATAAGGAGCAAAAGCAGTCAAAGTGTCTGGAAGCCCATTTATCTTAAATACTCTTATTTTTAATATTCCAGGGATTTCCCACCCATGATACAGAAGGCAAAGAACTCAGCAAAGGACAAATTAAGAAGCTGAAGAAACTTTATGAAACCCAGGAAAAACTATACAAGGAGTATCTACAAATGGTTCAGAATGGAAGTGCAAATTGACAGTGACAGGACTTTTTCCAAAAGGCGAGTGTTGGGTCACCGTTGCAAATGCGAGCATATACTGATGCTCGTCTCTCTGTTTACACTTTCTATTATGTGCAAAGTAAAAATCCTGTTTACGTGGATTAATAATGTCATCTGGAAAGTCAATAAAAATCCATTCTTAAAAAAACCCAACATCTAATAATTTTATTAGCAACAACAGTGGCAGACTGAATAGTGCCCAGTTCTGTTTGGGAAGATGCTGCTTAGTCAGCAAATCCACATAAGGCTTCTTGTTGATTATAGCTGTCCAGGCTTCAGTTAATTTGTCCTGCGTACCCATCTCTACCTAATACCTAATGTAGCTTGCACTCTGGAGTAGGATACAGTAAGCAAAACTTACACTAAATGGAAGCTGAATAATTTGTCCCACACTAAGAATAGTAAGTATTTTCCAGACGATTTTAATATCGTTATGTAACAGGAAAAACTGAGAAGTTCCACTATAATACTCTAGCTGCTGTTATTAAAAACTCTCATAAGTATACCCAGGACACACTATAAAGTAGAAGCAAACAGTCCCTTCCATAGGGCTAGACTATAGAAGTCTGGACTCATTTGCAAAAGGGGACAGATCATCGTCATCTCGCTCAACTTGCAGTTGCAGTTAAGTGGGTAGGTACAAGGGAGATGTACCTGCACTGAACAAACAGGTGTGAAAGACACAAGTTGCTACAGGCAGGGGATGTGTTCTTGGAGTTGTCGCTTCAGGGAACAAAAGGGCTGCCCAAAGACAGAGGACCGTACCCACTTATTTATTCAGACCCAAGGGGGAAGTAACAGAGGGTTCCTGACTGAGATAGTTTGTAGATTGGCTTGCAACTAAAAAATACGACCATACGTCACTCATTATTCAAGACTGATTTTGACATGACAGTTTAACCAAGGACAGCTCTCTGTTGCTTAATAATAAATTTCACTGGCAGTACCGGCTACCCTTTGGTTATGAAATCGTACAAAATGTCTCACCCACTTCACAACTGCGTAATAGCTAAGTACCCAACATGCAAAATGATATTCACCATGTATTCTTAAGCCTCAAGATGTCTCACAAAAGGTCAAACGGTGAGTCATTGTAAAAACTGTGATATCGCTGTTCTCGCAACTCTTAGGTTCACGCTATGACCATTAGGCTATGCTCCTTCTCCTAGTTAAGAGTTATAAATATTTTTGCTCTCACTTTATCTTAATATATAACTTAAGTCTCAAGATGTACAGATTTGGAGTAACAGAAAGGCCTAGTAGTTTTTTGTCTAGTTTCCTAGAATTTGCCTTTGAAAACCTATGTAATGATGAGGTCAGCAAAACACATGCATCTTGTACACCGAGTATAAAATCTGCAGTACAGCGTACGTGCATGTGACCTTTGCGTAATAAAAAGAAAAGAGCTTATTTCACAACCGTTTTTTTGCAATGTATTTTACATAACTTCTCTTCTAACTTGCCATTACTAAGATGATCAAAAAACATTTAATTTTTGCATTCAATATTTGATGTATTCTGCTGATTTCTAATTAATTCTATAATCACTTGTTTAAACTGTACAGTGGTAGTTAGAAAGCCAGCCACGACTAAGAGGGCAACTTCTCCATCCTTTTGGTCTACGAACAGAAGAGGATTAGTTGCATTTGTACACCGTTCTGGGTTCTAACTCCTTCAGTGTTATCAGCTCGTTGCTTGTGAACGTCCTCTGTATTTGTAGGTAACGTGTTGGTCTCTGCTCTGCACTGTATTCTTTTTTTGTTTCATCTTTAATCTCTCCTCAAGCACAGATCCTATCTTGTTTCCCCCAGATGCATGTGCACTCAGGATATCCATGAAAGGATGGGATGTGCCTAGGCAGATCTAGTCATAAGATGCTGCTTCTCAGCCAGATGAGTTATCCCACTGGAGCCTCCCCGCGGTCCTAACTAGATTCCAGAGCTAGTTCTGCAAACGCTAGGAGTCCTAGACTTACTGAGTCATCTCTATATCCTCAGCATAGGCTTCAGTTGAGGTTAACTACCTTCCTGAACACGAACTACTTTTGAAATTACTTTTAAAATGTGACTAATTTTTGAAATTCACTTAACTTGAAGTAGTGACAGTCATTTGCTTAAAGAAATTCCTCTCTGGTGATCTGAGTTAGCACATGCTTCCCAAAAATGCAGCTAAACCTAGTTAGCACATAACTATGAAGAGGATGACTCTGTTAATCCATTGGTCTCCTGGATACTAATTTCCTTACACCATCTCTCTGATACTGTCTTCTGGTATGTCTTTTTCTCCTCCTGCTGTGTTCCTAGTGGAACCTCACCCACTCTATGGTTTGTCTACTACATCAATTTAGAGGAATTTGGAAAAATGTCATTTTTTCCTTCCCGACTGCTGCTTTTTGCTTCTGGGATAACTTTCCTTGCATATGTCTTATGAGCATTTCAAGCTGCAGTCTCCACAGCTTATCCTCTGGTCTTTGCTTCTGTGTGTTTCCTATGCACACACTGCTTGCTTCTTCAAAATCTGTAACTCCATAGTTAGTCATGTCCCCCAAGCTCGGATAAGGTCTCTGACATATTTACTTTCCTGCTAAGAGTCATATTCTACCTCCAGTATTATTCAGCTCAGGCTTTCCTTTTGTGTATTTTGATTGACTCACACTTTTATATATATATTATAAAAAATATATTTATATATTATATGTACATATTTTTAAACTAAGATTTGAAAGAATCCTTATCTCAAACATCAGTGCTGCTAAAGTCATCTTTCTGTTCTACTACAGTACAAACTGTACTTCCCTGTCTTTGAATTCTTTTTGCACAAAATCAAAGTTTTTGAAGTCAATAGGGTTCTTTTCACAGATTTCAAAAGGATCAGAGCCTTTGAAATCCTCTCCTTTTCAGACCTGTCTTCAGTGTCCTGTGTGATCTCTGTTCCTCTTTATTGCTACTTTTTCTCCCCTACTTTTTAGTGTTTTGTCATTCTGTTTCTCCTTTTGGAAGCTGCCTCCTTCAAGAAAGCTTCTCACTTGACTCCTCCAGCAATAAAGCCCTCATAACCTTCCCATACTTGAACTGTTCTTTCCATACTTGAACGTTCTTCCATTTATGAATTTCTCTTCCTATATGTCTCAGTTTTCCTTGAGAAGCCAGCATTGTGAACAAGGAGAACGTCTGCTTCATAAGCATCTGTGAGTTGACAGGCCTAAGCATTGTCTATTTAGAAAGTTCAGTGCACACAAATAGGTAACTCCAGTAGAGAGTTACCTCTTGCTGCTAAAATGCTTTACCTTGATGCATAGACAAACAGGAAATGACTTCATTCTCTCCAAACAAGATGAGACTTTTGCCCAAGTATGGAGTTCCTTTTTCCAAAAGCAGCAAGTGAATCAGAAAACAATGACCTTGGCGAAGAATCAGAAAAACAGATTTTGTCTCGTGGAGTTTGTATCAAAACACAAGCTCCAAAACTACTTCAGATCAGTTATTTTGATTCTCTAGGCAGCCACAGTTTAGCAAAAAATAATAGCATGTGCAGTGTCCCAGCAAAGGAAAGCTTGTTAGCAAACAAAGGAATGCTGCAAGCAGGTTTAGATATACACTGTTTAAGCAGACTTTCTGGAAGTAGGTGGGTCAACTGATCTATGCAGTCATTGAAATGCACAACACAATACCTCTTCCCTAGCAATCCATCAAGGTGTCACTTAAGTGAATTCCACTGCACTGGCTTAGTGAGAGTGACTTGGCAGCCAGAAAAACAGAATGCAACAGCAATGGTCTGCATTCAATGTCTTCGTCGCCTGTCTCAGTAAAGAAAAGGGAAAGGACAGGCTCTAGTGTATTCTAAAACTTGTGATTAGATAGATAATGTGTATATGTACATATACACACACTGAAGGAATCAAATGTGGAATATGAATTTCTAAGCATTAAGAAAATAATCCCAATAGCAATGAAGTGTTGGATTTTTAAAAATATTTTCTGGAACATACGTGCACAGCTTGTTTTGATCTGTAGAAAATGAAGCTTTCTATTTTCCCACAGGGTTTTCTGGTTATCTCTGAGATTCTTTTCATGATTACTGTAATTTTTCTCAGTAACAATCAAGATAGCCACTGCGTTTTTGGGGGCCAATAAACCGTCTTTTTTTTAAGCTGCCATCTTTTGGGACGTGCAAGTATTACTGTCTCTTCCTGGGTGAATTCTGTCATTCAGCTGGGCATCAACAAGTGATTTTGAGCGTTCAGCTCAAAGCTTTGTTAAATAAATCTGATCTCTGGATGGGGAAGAAGCTTCCATGTTTTATGATCATGCAGGTATAAACTTACATGTCACAACACTGAGACCTCTTCAGACTCATAGGTCACTTCTAAAACAGTATCTTTCTTTAACCTCTAAAACCACTCGATGTTTGTGACAAGAGAGCATATGACAGCAAACAGTTCAAATTAAGGGGAAATTGCAAAGCTGGTAGCTGGTATCTCAAATAATCTCTCCTCTCGCCCTCCCAAAAACTACTGCCTGCTTTGTTCAAATCTTAAATGTATTTTACAATTACTGAATTCTTTTGGGGAGGCAAGGGAGGGAGCGATACTAACGTCTGACTAGAGCACTGCAGCCTCAGCATTCTTTGAAGTTGCTTTCAAGTTATTTTTAACGTTACTTAAGTTAACTGCAAGTCGGAACGATTATGGCTTTTCCACGATTCATTTTGTAAGTGTGTTTTTTTAAAGTTTCCCATAGCCTCACATTAAAAGCATGCGGTACCTTTCTTCCCAATACATATTTAGTAATACTTACTTAGCAGTATCTCCATGTTGTGCTTATGCACCTACACTGGAATAAGCGTAAGGTAACACAGTGCTTTATTTGACACCTGTTTCCCATATCACAAACTAACACAGCTGTTTATGTTCTCTCTCTCTCTCTCTCTCTGAAGTCCAAAAATCCAAATCTCTCTTTGGGCTTCCTTTGTTGATGATGGAAGTCTATTAAAAAATCAAAAGCATTAATGCTCAAGGACATCACTGTTTTGGAGGTAAAGATTTATTTTATGGTGGCACCAGTGACCTGCGGATTATAGACTGCTGCATCCTCATCAGCCTAAACAAATGTAATATTTGTTGCTGCAATAACCAAATTTTGCTGATGTATTTAATATTGCTCAAACAGCAGTCAGGCACCAATAGCACAAAACTGCCTATTGTCAAGATAATTTGAAACATTATCCCACAAGGATCTCTCTAGTCCTCCTCAAAAACTGCTTCTTACCAGCATAGTGTATAGGAACAAAGTACTCTCAAATATGTATGCGCTAACACTAGGCTACACCTCTGAACGCTGAAGATTGTGCCAATCTGGGTGTTGTCAGGAGGAAGTACTCGGCTAAGTTGGTAAGCCTGTCAGGGCTTCCTTTGCTTGTAACCTCGAGGGGACAAACACTGGATAGAAGCTGACATGAGAAGAAAGACTACCATCAAAGAATTTATCCACAGGCAGCAAGGCAAGGTAAAATAGTGTGGTGTTTCTTGGTTTTAACTGCATCCTTTCTGTGAAGTGCTGAAGGCCAAACTTGGAAGCAGCAAATACAGCTTCTGTGTTTTGCTCAGCATGCCTTTCAGCCTTTTGAGAGCTGTGAATACTGCTGCACTATAAGAACAAGTTCCTCCATGCAGCTTCCAAACACAGTACTCCCATCACTCAGTTTGTTCAGATACTGGTAGAAAAATCTGTGAATTATCTGATCCGATCTTATTACCACCAGTCTTCATTCTTTACAAAGACTTTCAAGTCCCTAATTACATTGAAGATATTCTTTTTGATCTCTTTTTCCTAATGTTTATATTCGCTTTCCACCTTTCTGGGAACCCACAGATGCATTTTAAATGCGCCGATCAGCAAATCTCGGCCACATACAATATACCTGCAGCTTCTTTATCTATATTTTAAACTACGCTTTAACACTTTAAGGTGGTGGAGCTTGTTGGATCCACTTGAGCTCCCTCCTTTAAGATTACACAATTTCTGCTGCACAAATATGGAAAGGAACTTTTGCTCCTCTTGGTGATTTCGCAGGACATTTTCTATGCAGGCCACTGTAGCACTTGCATATTTCTCATCTCTCCTGACATAGGACAAATTAATTAAGAAGTGTATTAGCTATTTAGTACCAAGCCTCCACTTAGCAATGATCAAAGCACTTCTTGTCCCTGAAGAGTCATAGACAAACCAAATCTTATCTCTCAAAATGGGTTGTGAATGTCTGGCATGTCATTCAGTGAAACGGGTTTGCATTAATGCCCACCCAAGGGCAGAACACACAGCGCTCTCTCTCAGTGCCAGTCACAGATCTCAGCCTAAGCTTTCTCTCTAAAAACAGGTGTGTCAAGTGTATAGCAGCTCTGCCATCATCCCTTCTGTTTCTGTTTTGGTTCTCCAAGCTCTCCTGTCTGCTAGCCTGGGCGTTTAAATCAAGCCAGGGTGATTCAGCAAAAATCTTTTTGCAGCTCTGGCTCTCTGCAGGGCAGGAGCACCTGACAGCAAGATGACTCCACAGATTGTGCCTCGGCCACAGTCCTAAAGTCTGCCATCATGCTGCAAGAGGTTAGACACCAGTCAGCAAAAATCCCTCCTTGATCATGGAGGATTTATGCCTTTGGATTTAAAGTAATTTAAATGTATTTTACTTCAACATGAACGAAGAGAGAAAATACTTCCAGCACTCTGGCCTGTTTCAAGGCTTTCATAACTGGTCCAGAAGAAAGCAAATCTCTTTCTACAAGACCATCTGAGATATAATTTAATTCAGGGTTTGCAGCATTTATGAGAATAACTACATTAGCAAGAGAGGCACTAGCGCAGAGGCAGAAACTGCCCATCCCGCCACAGAGGCTGCAGTATTGCAACTAATAATCTGAACAGGGCTGCAATGTGATCCTGCAATAGCAGGAACGAGCAGCTACATCATGTACTCAAGCAAAGCTTGCTAAATCTTCATATGGCACAGTAGCTGACTCCAAACTTCTTTTGGGGAGCAAGGGAGAAATAGCTTTTAACAAATAGAGGTTAACAAACAAACCCAAAAACCCTGACAGAATACTTGACAGCTATGTATGAATCAGCAGCAAGAACAAAAATTTCAAGTATGAATAATTTCAGAAAAATCCTCCTTTCAGAGTTCATTATGGTCTCTTATGGACAAGTGACAATTAAGCGTAACTTAGTGATCATGAATGGAGTTGTCCCAAAATAAAGGTAATGAAAGCAAGAAGAGGCCGTTAACTTTTTGAAGTTCGGAGAAAGATTGGTTTGGATGGACAAGGAGAGAAGGCGGGAGCAAACCTTAGACCTGCCGCTGAGCCTGTCCTTGAGCTGGCCAAATCTGCTTGCTTGTGCTACTGACTCCCCAAAATTCCTGCAATACTTTAGCTGTTTGAGTAATTACTTTTTTTCTTTTATTATTGGTACCTGCTTTTAACTGATGATGCACTCATTAGTCCTGCCATTAAGTTCCTGCAATAACTGAATTAATCTAGTGTTAATGTAGTGATTGGTTGTTAATTGTTAAACATCACTCCCATAATTTCAATGTTTCATCAGTGAAACGATTGTGACGATAAACCCTGGAAATTAATTACTGAAATCCAAGACTACGTTAGTAGACCTGTAGGAAATCTTTTTTTTTTTTTGTTTTGAATAAGGAATCTAGTGATTCAGTAAAGGGTTAAATGCTTTTTCCTATTGAGTGAGGGGATTATTCATATGAACTCCAAGTGGCTCCAAACGCTAAAACCGCCTTGTTCTCAAGAGGACATTACAGGGCATCTGTTGCTCACGCATCCCCATACAAACACCGGCCTTTTGTTGTTGGTGGGTTTTTTTTCCCTCTCCTCTCTTCCTCAGGAGAGGGAATTACACCCGTACCTAGCCTTAGAAACAAAGCCCGAAAGCTTAAACATCTTTAAACGGGTGCTCCACCTGAAGCACCAGACAGGGCCTGTTCTTCCTCACAGGAAGCGCCGCGCCCGTTACCCAACGCCCACC